CAGATATTGAAAATAAAATATAACAGAGGAAATTTAAATAACCTTTAATCGTACTGCCTAGAAATCACCACTGTAAGTGTTTATCTGGCCTGAGGACTGTTGTTCTGCTGTGTTGTGTACTTTGAAGCATATTACCTTGACTAGTGCTCTCTGGCCTTGCCTCTCTCCCAGAGCCCATGTAGCATCTGCTACAAGGTGGCTCTCAGTTCTTTCTGCTGTCCATTTGCCTTCGGCATTGTGTTTGTAAATATTATCAAACAGACAAGTACCCAAGCACCTCACACTCAGGATGCCCCACCCTGAACTCAAGCTTCTTGGAAATGCTCCTCTGTACCTTTAGTGCCTATCTTCTTAATCTACCCAGTCAGGTCCCCTGGAACTCCATTTGGTCTCACATTGCTCTGACTTCCTCCTCTGCGCACCATCAATTTGTACGGTCTCAGTGGCCCTGACTCTGCCCTTTACCACATTCTGCAGAGCTGTTCTTTCCCCACATCCCTTCCTCAGAGCCTCCCTTTGTGCCATTTACTTTCCCCAGAAGCACCGGCTCTTAAGTCCAATGGCTCTGGCTCATAAGCTGCCTCTGTCCCACTAACTGCTAGGCAGTGGTCAAATTAAGTAATGAGAGTTCTTTGCTCAGTTTATTCCGCTGTTCAGTCTTGCTGTGGAGATGAGTGAAATATGCCGAACCCCACAGTAGTTCCCAGCACATGGTAAGCACTGGAGCTGTGGGTAATCATTGGGTTATTTTACGTATTTTTAATATTTTTATTTTTATTTTACATATATGAGTGAATTGCCTGCATGTATATAAGTACACCCGTGTCGTGCAATGACCACGGAGGTCAGAAGAGGGTGTTGGATCCCCTGGAACTGGAGTTGTGGACAGTTGTTAGCTGCCATGTGGGTACTGGGAATTGAACCCAGGTAGTCTGCAAGAGCAGCCAGTGCACTTAACTGCTGAGCCATCTCTCCAGTTCCAATCATTGGATTATTTTTACATGGATTGACAATATTTTTAAAAGTATCTACAGCAGACATGTGCAGACTTTTCTTGTCGTTTTTCCCCAAACAATACAGTGTAACAATTGTTAACAAAGCATTTATATTGTATGAGGTAGCATAAGTAATCTAGAGATGTACACAGGAGGATGTGCATACATTATGTACAAACACCCTTGCCATTTTATATAAGAGACTTGGGCATCCACAGATTGATTGATTGAATGAATGATTGATTGATTGATTGATTGATGATCGATTGATTGATTTGGATACATAAGGGGTCCTGGAACCAATTTCCCATGACTACTGGATCTAGTTTCTCCATGTCCAACATGCAGTAGGTTTTTCATAGAGTAAGAACAGAAAGCATATTTTCTCTAGGTCTGTGGACCTAGAAAAGTTCTTTCTTCTAACACTTTAACTAATGGTATGTTCTAGTAGAAAAATGCCCTTCATCCTCATGGGATACCTGTGTTGTATTGGAAAGGTACTTGAAATAGAAGGAAAGTGACAAGATTAATCTCTATTCAAATAAAAATACAAAACCTGAGAATCTTTTTTTCAAGTCTTGTCATTGTCTCAATAGGAATTTCTTGGGAAATGAAAAGATGCATTGTTCTGCATGAATAAGACAATGTTACCTAAAGGTTCAAAGTATAGAATTTTATATTAAAAAGTAAGGCCTTTAAGAACAGAAAGAATTGGAGATGCATAAGTGATTTAAGGAACAATAAAATATTACCTATATTACATAGAGCTAGAGAAAGGATGGAGAATAGAGTGGACATTCCAGGTAGACTGTGGGAATATATGGTGTATCTGGGGTGGGAAGGGTGGCAGGGATGAGGTTTGAAAGCCTGGGAGAGACTCTAGGTGCCTCTGTCCCCTTGTGTTATCACATGACCACATCTCAGGGAATGAGATGGGATGATATATGAAAAGTGGAAACAATTCTTAATTCTAATCAAATGGCACAAAGGCTTAGGATGGGTGTATCGTGAGCTGAAGTTTATACAACCCTTCTCAGGAGAAACACCTCACTAAGGAATCACATTATCCACTGTGCCCCATTTAAATCCCCCTGACTAACTGAGGGATGAGGTGAAACTACTGTCCTCACTCTACAAATGAGGGATCAAAGGACACAGAGGTAAAAAAAACTGCTCAGGGGACCACCACTGGTAAATACAGAATCTGAGCTTTGTGCTAAGGGCCAGTGAGCCCCCAGGGTCCCTGTTCTAACCCACTGGACCACCATTTCTCCATGATTATGTTTGTTTTCTTCATCTACAGTGTTTGAGTACAGCAATTAAAAATACATTAACCACCTTGTGATTTTAGTTTAAATGAAATCAGTTTGAATAATTAGTCAAAGGCGTTTGTTTTAGTAATAGTTTTTAAATTACTTATAATGCAACCTAATGTGCCAGCAGGTATTCTTGAGGGTTGAGGCGGGATGTAGGGAAGTAGGGACCAAGTTTATGAAGATTAAACATTATTCCGGTGGCAATAATAATCATTAAATTTTTAAGATTTTTCAGTTAGCTAGCACAAAATAGTGGCGGATTTATGAAGTAAAGTGTGCCACATGTGTATACATTGTGCAAAGATCAAATCAGGACAATTAGCATTTCTATTCCTCAAATGTTTCACATCGCCTTGTGGAGGGGACCTTCTTTCAGCTATTTTGTAAGCTACAATATAGTTGCTGTGAAGGTCACCCTATTGAGCAATAGAACACCAGAACTATTCCTCCTATTTCATTATAGCTTTGTCCCTTTGGATCAGCTCACTCTCCATTCCTCCTTCCTCTTGACCTTTTGAGTCAAGGGTTCATTTATGAGTGAGAAATCTGCTCTGAAATAAGGGTCTATGGGTAGGTGTGGGGGGCAGACCTGGAGAGAGAAATTCCTAGCCAGGAATCTGCTAAACCAGTCACAGTGAGAGAGGAAAAAGGACCTAAAGCCAGAGCAGTGGAAACAAATAGATCCCACAGATCTAAACCAAAGAAAGATGAGGTGGTTTCAGGGGATAGAGAAGAGGCACACACCCTGTGAGTTTTCCAGGCCACAGGGTTGTTGGAGATACAATTCCCAATGATGGAGCCTGTCCTAGCTAGCTTTCTGTTGCTGTGATAAACACCATGACCAAAAAGCAACATGGGGAGAAAAGAGTTTATTTCATCTTCTATTTCAATGTCATGGTCCATCTTTGAGGGAAGCAAAGGCAGGAACTCAAGACAGGAACCTAGAGGCAGGAGCTGAAGCAGAGTCCATGTAGGAACACTGCTTATTGACTTGCTCCCCATGTCTTGCTCAGTTACTAAGAATATTTTTATTATTCCAAAGAGGCGATTTTGAACACATTTTTTTCCAGAAATAACTTGAAGCAGGTTACATTAAAAAATATATATATACAATGAAGTTTAAGGGTGGAAAAGTAGGGATAAGAAATAAAAGACCAAAGCTGGGGTTGGTGGAACACCTCTTCAATCGCAGCGCTTAGGAGGGAAAGCTGGGCAGAGCTCTGTGAGTCCAAAGCCAGTCCAGTCCACTCAGCTAGCTCCAGGCCAGCTGGGGCCACAGGGAAACTCTGTCTCAAAAACACCAAAAAAGAAAACATTGAAGACCAAAGGATTTGCAAACATGAGGTCAACTTTGGTGGCATAATGAAAGTTTCCATTAGCTCTGTTCTTTTTTTTTTTTTGAAATCCTAACTAGTTTACTGAGCTTGCTAACAGAGTACAGGGTGGGCATTTATTTACAGAAGACAGTGCTCCCCCCCCCCCACCCTCTATGGCTGTGCTGGAAAGTCCACATTCAAATATAGATCCTGTGACTTCCCAACAGTCACACAAAATGGTAAGAGAGGTGCTAATGGCATTCTCAGCTTTTATATCCTTAACCCCTCCCCCACCTGCAGCTAAGGTCGACTGATTGGGTGGGAGGGGTAACTGACTCCCGGCTCAATTTGATGAGCATGGGAAGGAGGTGTGACTGTAGCTTGCCGGCATAGTGGTTGGAGGACACTCCACCCCTTTCTCCAGATCTTCCATTCTTTCCACCAACCTCTTCCACAAGAGCCCTCTTGGAGGGGGTGGTAGGTGTGGAATGATCTTCCTGCCGTTGTGGCAAGACACTGAACTTTTGGGTGTCTGCACCATCTGTTTTTCATGGACTATTGGCCCATTTCAGTGGGATTCCGTCTACACTGAACAGAGGCCAGATCCAGGTGCTCTCGGGCAGTCTGCTGAGATCTCAGCCCCTACACCAATGGAGGCAGATCAGGCACTCTCCCTCCGTTACTTTTCTTATACAGCTCAGACTTACCTGTTCAGTACACAGGGCTAGCCCCTCCCACATCAACCAACAATTAAGAAAGTGCCCACAGACATGCCCTCAAGGCCAGTCTGTTAGAGATAATTCCTCAGTTGAGGTTCCCTTCTCCCAGATGACTCGTTTGTGTCAAGTTGACAAAACTAACCAACACAGAGCCTAATGAAACGAGATTTTTACAATAGTGAATAGAGTATGTTAAAAAGAAAAAAAAATGTTCAAGTTTTTGTCTGCTTTTCTCATTTTGGGGTTTGTTTGTTGTTTGAGACAGGTGTCTTTGTAGCCCAGGTTGGACTCCTACCTCTAGCAACCCCTCTCTGCTTCAGCCTCATAAGTGTTGGGATTATAGACATGAGTCACCACATCCAGCCTGGTTTGGTTTATCTTTACAGTCCTCTTTTCTTTGGAGCAAAGCCATTTTCATCTTATCAGAATTGTCACTCTTTTGCAGAAGCAGTTCCAACAGTTTTAATACTTCAAACTTTAATTTTTATAAATTCTATTCATGTCCCTGTGGGTCTTTTCAAAAGCAGCATATTTGTGCAATTTCCTGGACTCATCAGATTTGTCTAAGTGCTTACAAATGCCTAGCGTTCACAGTGGTAGATGAATTAACTGGAAATGGATGGCTGACTGGCCAAAACCTTCCTATGATTCCAGGCTGCCCTGGCAGGAGGCACCACTATGATCATTGACTTTGCCATCCCTCAGAAAGGCAGCTCCCTCATTGAGGCCTTCAAGACCTGGCGCAGCTGGGCAGACCCCAAAGTCTGCTGCGACTACAGCCTGCATGTGGCGGTAACATGGTGGAGTGACCAGGTAAGGCTGCCAGCTTCCAGTTTGCTCCATTTGGTCCCCTTGCCCTTCCTCTGTATGAAAGCAAGAAGCTGACACTGTCAAAGGCAAAGCCCAGGGACCCTTGGCTGCTCCGAGGGTGACTGGAGAGTGGGAAGGAAGATCTTTCACTGCACATTCTTCTGTTCTGCTGAACTTTGGATACTATGAAGGATTATCAATTTAAAAAGTTAAACTGTAAAGATATCATGTAAAGCACATGCTAAAATCCCTTTATGCTCTTTCACTAGTTCCCTAGTATTTAACACAGGCATTGGCAATGCTTTCAGTGTTTTCTGTAACTTTCAAAGTATTGAGTTTGACTCTAACTCTCAATTCAGCATCCTTGGAATTCCTTCAAATCAGAAGCCTCCATTCCCCTTCTGGCCCCTAGTGATAGGAGAAGGTAGGTGGGAAGGACTCTTTCTATTGTTCTCCATTTACTGTGTCCTGACTTGGGCTCTCCCAGCCCTTTTCTGATGATGTCACCATCTGGGAGCCATTCATAATAGACCTCAAACCACCCTTCTTTGCCTGATAGTTAGTTAGGCCATGAAAAAAGGTAAGATTCAGATAGAAATGACAAATTTGAAAGCCATTAAAATATGCTGATTTCCTCTTCTGATAATTTGTGTGCCTGCCTTGGAGGAAATATTGACTTGAGGCTTAATCTTATTTCTTCATGTTGGGCTTTATTTAGAAATCCTTTTGCCAGAAAGGGCTAATCACAGTAACATTTAAGTAGCTCGTATTCTAATGTCCCTTCCAAATCTGGGCAGTAGGCACTAAGTTAATACAAAGCAAGTAATCAATCTTAAACAGTTCAGAAAACATAATTTCAACTGCTAAAGTTGATTTTTCTCCAAAAACAACATTCTTAGTGATGCATCTGATCTATTTTGTGTCTTTATAGGCAAGTCCATCCTTCTTTCTTTCTTTCCTTCCTTCCTTCCTTCCTTCCTTCCTTCCTTCCTTCCTTCCTTCCTTCCTTCCTTCCTTTCCTCCTTCCCTTCCTTCCTTTCCTCCCTCTCTTATTTTATGAGACAGAGCAAAAGCAATGCTGTTAGCCCTTATTCCTTTAATATGCAGAGATCCCTAAATGCAGATTCAATTCAGTTGTTATAAACAAGTCCCACAAATGTAATGGCCCACACAACAGAAAGTTATTGTCTCTGAAGGTTAGAAGTCCAAGGCCAAAATGTCTGCAGGGTTGGTTTTTCCTAAGGGCTTCTTTGAACAGAGTTCGGTCTTACGCCTTTCTAGAAGCTTCTAGCTATCTGGTGAGTCTTCCATGCTCCTTGTCTTGCAGAAGCATCATTCCAACTTTTGTTTGAGTCTCCCCGGGTGCATGCCTGTATCTCTGTTTCCTCTTTTTCAAGACTACCAATCATCAGGGATTAGCAGGGACACCAGTAACTTACTCATAACTAGTGACATCTACAGTGAGCCTATTTCCAAATAAAGGGTTATGACTTTAACATATGAATTTCGGGGACACAGGTCAATTCATCATAGTGGGCAAGGACATCTGCACCGCTATATTTGATAGAGAGAGGGTCTTGCTATGTAGTCCCAGGCTGGCCTTGAGCCTGTTTTGCCCACACCTCTGAGTGGTGGGATTACAGGTGTCCACAACCACGCCAAGCTTTGCACTTTTTGTTTACTAAGAAAGTTTAGCTTCTTTGTCTGTGTATTTTCTCCATGAATTGTTGGAATTGTTGGTGATATTTTCCACCTCAACTGTTAAGGTTTTTCTTTACCTTAGTGGGTGGGGGATGTTCTCCTTTTCTATAATTTTATGGGTGTACATAGTTGTTTGGATATTTTAAAGAATAAACCAATTAGTGAATATTTCTCAAAGAAAGTAGGTTCTTGCTATATTCTTAGCTTTTAGCAAAAGAAACCTAGTCTTTTAAAACTCCATGGCTAGAGTCTAGGCACTCTTCTCTGATACACAAGTCCACCTGTCCGCCCATCCACCTATGGGTCCACTAGTACCTAACATGTACTAAGAATTGGGTATACAGTGGGCACAGATTTCATTCGCAATCAGTGTGGGCTTGGAGGCAGGTGTAGGCTCGGAGGCTTTTGCTTCCTCAGGCAAACCTGGGTTCATCCACATCTACTCCCTCTGGGAAGTCACCCTGCAGCTTTTAGATGTGAGCCCCAGACTTTGAAGCACATAAGATTTGATTCCTTCTAGATTCTCAGTTGCTACTGTTGCTGCCCAACAAATTGGAAGATAGATGAAGAGAATTTTATATTCAAGAATAGAAATGAAGTACTTTGGGGAACTTTTTCATGATTTAAAATATCATAGCAGCAGCACTTTGTCAGGTGACACGGGAGAAAGATTTAATTGCATGTTTCTGAACTAAACGGATGCCCTTATTTTTCTTATTTCTTTTCTGAATGTAGTATTTTGGAGAATGCTGAAATTATCATGTAAAGAGTGACATGATGTTTCCATTCTCCTTTAGGTTAAAGAAGAAATGAAAATCCTTGCCCAAGATAAAGGTGTTAACTCTTTCAAGATGTTCATGGCCTACAAAGATCTATACATGATACGAGATGAGGAGATGTATGCAGCCTTCTCACAGTGCAAAGAAATTGGAGCTATTGCTCAGGTGCATGCAGAAAATGGAGACTTAATTGCAGAGGTGAGCATTTGCATTCTAACCCTCCCACAGAAATGGAAATAGCTGTCACTTAAGGCACAGACAGTTGGCCCTAAGAAAGTGTACTTTCAGCACATTGCCTTGAAGAAATCCTGACACGTACTGTCTGGTGGCTGGAAAAGAACTCAGTTTATTTGGTTGCTCTTCTTGTATTTGGTCAGCAGGTATACACACATGGGTAAGGGTTTCCCCCCTTTCAAACCAGCTACCTATATTCGATTTCAAATGTGTGCTATTATAAAATTGCGAATCACTTTATTAGTATCCCTCAACATCAGTTTGTTTTCTGGGTTTTCAGTGGCTTGGGCTGCTGGTATTGAATGCTAACCTGTGGCCACCAGTGAGCTCTGATGAATTAAGCAGTGTATTAGGTGGTATTTTAAAGCCCTACGCTTTTCAGGAACTGGGTGGTATTAAAATGTGCTCTGGAGAAATCTAGAAGATATTTATTTCTCATGTTAGTCCCATTACTAATGCCTGAAGGGGACACCCTCTGTGAGATTTAAAGAGCTGTCTCTAACCCTTTATATTAGCTGATTGTTTTTTCTTTCCCTAGGCTTAGCTCCCATTAAAGAGAGATTTCAGCTCAGTGGCCAGGAGGCAGAGGGAAGAATGAGCTGTAGAATTAAACAGGCCAGAGTTTAAATCTGATGTTCCACTTCCTCACTGTGTGACACCGGCAAGCCTTTTTATAAGTCTTGACTTCCATCCCTTTTTGTTTTTTGAAAGAAAAAAATAAAACTTTGAGGAGGGAGAATAACTGATCTAATATCATAAGTAGATTGGTTTGGGGGAGCCAATAAAGGCTATGATTCAGTAGAAAAAATAAAACAAATTACACAATAAATTACAAGGAGCTACTTCAACAATGATCCGGAGTAGTCTGCTTTATTTTGTTTTACCTCAACAAATATGTTACATCTGCAGTATGGGCAGTCCTCATATTCTCTCTCTCTCTCTCTCTCTCTCTCTCTCTCTCTCTCTCTCT